TTTTGTAGCCCCAGCACTTAGCAAGGGGCCTGGCACACAGCAGGTGCTTAATAAATGCTCAATGTCTTGATTTGATTTATTCCTTGACTTTGGGAAAAATAATTTCACATTTACTGGACTTCGCTTCTTCACTTTTCAATGTCTCATTTTATACGTAAGAAAACCAAGAGCCATGGTTGTTAAATAACTTGCCCAATGTTATACTGACAGTAACTGGCAGAGACAAGATTTGAACTCAGATCCTCTACTTCCAAATCCATTCCTCTTTTCCCCACACAGATGTGCCACTTCCTCCTGTATCAGTACTCAGGTATTTTTACACTATTCCTTCCCTCTCAAAACTCTGGCCAAACATTTATCTCTTCAGAGTTCAAAGGCCAAGTGTGAACACGATTATCAGGATTCAAAGTCAAAATTCATACTGGCTCTTCCCCAAAATCCAGATTAAAAAAGAAAATCCCAAGCCTAAATCAGAGCAAATGGCACTAGGAGAATAACTGCTTTCCTGCTGACTCGCTGTTTTGTTTATGCACTACTTCTTCCCATTCAACAGGCTGTCATTATGTGAGCTCTAATAAACTGGACAGGGTTGTGGATACAATATATCACTGTTTAATGCTGCCAGGATTGGAACATAAAGACCACTTAACTCAGAACAAAATCAGGGAGCCCACAAATTAGCCGCTGAAGAGACGCCAAGACAGCGTTAGTCTATTCACGGCACTCAACAGCATTACACATCTGAAGGGCTTTAATGCTCCTCCAAGGGGTGCACTGCTGGCTAGTAATTCACTGCGTCCTTTCCAGGGAATGAGTTGTCACCAGCCTGGCTCCGAAAAGGCTGTGACGCTTCAGATCAGGGAGCCCCCAGGCCTCGGAGCAGCTTTATCACTCTCATCATTTCTTCTGACCCTAGACATCACCATTCCTGGTTCTCTGTCTGGCTTTGTGTACTTCTCCTTAGCTCTCTGTCCAACGCTAATGGATTCTGGGGGAATTTGAAAACTTCAGTGAGATACTCCCCACTATTCCTCATTTTGCCTGGTCATAGATATTCAAGCAGTTTTTTACAGCAGAAAGAACTCTGGACCTGAAGCCAGGAGATACCATATATTTAAAGCTAGAGGGAAAGGGAAGGGGTGGGAAGGGAACAGACATTATATAGTACCTACGATGTACCAGGCACTGTCCTAAGTGAGCACTGCTTTTTTGATGTTCATAACAATCCTGATAGGTAGGTGCTATTATAATCCTCAATTTACAGATGAGGAAACTTAGACGGAGACGGGTTAAGTGACTTGTCTGAGAACACACAGATACATGTGCTACAGTTGAGATTTGAACTCAGCTCTTCCTGACTCCAGGCCCAGAGCTCTAGCTATTGTACCACCAGATTAGAATCCATCTAGTCTAGCACCTTTATTTCATAGAGGAGAAAACTGAGGACCAGAGCCATTAAATAACTGGCCCATGGTCATATATGTATTAAGTGTCAGAAGAAGGATTCAAGCCCAGGTCCTGTAAGTCCAAATACAATACTCTTTTCACTGTAGTATACTGGATTGAGTTGGAACCATCACTTACATGTAAGTGGAGACCTCTCTTTCCTGATTTATAAAATACAGATAGTAATGATAGGGGTGAATCACCCACTCCACAGGGCTACGGTGAGAAGAGCACTTTAAGAATTGTAAGGTACAATATGAGTGTGAATTGGGTCTGAAATATCAGTGTTTCCCAGAGACCTGAAAATCCACAAGTGCAGACTGTATATGAGTGACTTCATTACTACAATGTTTGAGCTGATGATCAGGGTTGGTTAAGTGCTCAGAGCTTAAGATAGATAACGCAGGATAGCGGGCAATCAATGAACAAGAATTTATGAAGTGTCTATTGTTTAAGGAAACCTCATTATATTAAAGTTCCAACCCTACCATTTAGCAGTGTTTATTCAATCATTTAACCTGTGAGGACCTCAGTTTCCTTACCTGTAAAATGAAAATAATGCAACTTGACCTCCCACTTCCTATCCATTGTGAGGAAAGTACTCTATAAATCTTAAAGCACATAAAGGAATGTGAGCCTTTTTGAACAATAACAAAAATGATTTTTGTCTTCTAATCCTGCCCTTAAGTTCTAGAGAGCAAAGCAGACATCAGCAGAGCCCCACTAGACTGCAAGCCATTTGAGTGGCAGAGACTATGCCTCCTCTTGCTTTTCTTCCAGAAGTGCTTCAGTCATGTCGTCATAGATTCCCAACAAACACATGTTGATTTGAATGAACGATGGGTCTTACCCAGCCAACTAAATCACTGTGACTAACATAGTGGCTGCAAAGGAAAAAAAGCTTTACCTAGATTTCCCCGCACGACTCTGCCTCTCCATCAGCCTTCTCTTATGCTAGTTCAGCCAGACCGGTTTCTCTCTCTCTAACCCCGACCTGTTCTGGACATTTATTGGTCTCCATGTCTTTGTCCATAGTGTTCACTGTGCTTTGAATGATCTCCCTCCTGTTATTAATCTGCTGCATTCTTACCCATCCTTTAAAGTCCAACTCACATGTCATCTATTCTCATCCTTCCCTGAAACCCCTGTTAAAAATTACTCTTTTGGGGGCAGCTAGGTGGCTCAGTGGATACAGCTCCAGCCTAGAAGTCAGGAGGACCTGAGTTCAAATCTGGTCTCAGACACATGTACTAGCTGTGTGACCCTGGGCAAGTCATTTAACCTTAATTGCCTAGCAAAAAGCAAAAAAAAAATTACTCTTTTTGCCAGAAATAACCTTCCCTTTAGACTCCACAGAGGATCGTTGTGAGCTAAAATACTGGTGGAACTGGGGAGCCTTGGTTTTTAAATGGTCCCCACATACACACAGTCCCATAACATGAGTCCATAATACTAGAAATATTATGAGCAAAGACATTATGGAGCTGACTTGGGAGAGGGGAGGGAGAAGGAGTAGCCTGCCTTAACAGCTCCAAGTGGATGTATCTGGGACTCAGATATGAGCCCTTTAGATAAAGAGTAAATAAAGTCAGCTTTAGAACTGCGTGGCAAAGCCCTTCTTGGGCTAAGATGAAGTGTTCCCTCGGCCTTGCTGCTTCTTACTAGAGTTTCTTTTCTTATTTTTTTTAATAGAGATCATTTAATTGTATTAATTCCACGTGTTTTATAGCTGCCACTATTTTACCATACATCCTGTACCAGAAGTAATACTGCATCCCTGTACCTACGATTGCCACCTTGAACCCATGATTCCTGTTTCCTCATCACCACCAAGACTGATTCCTTTTGGAAGTTTGTCTATTATTGAAACCCTAGAGAAATTCCTTGCTCAATGCTTTTAACCTCGTTGCTTATAGCTTTTACCTACTTTATCTTCCTTTAAATTGCTTTGTGGTTACCCTAAGGATTGCTTTTATTTGAGGGCATTTGAATATGTTTTTATTACATGCATTATTTATTCGAATATTTGAGCTCTGAGTGATCCATTGTATCAAATGTGGAACCTCAACCTAGAAAAACATGTTGTTTGTACTTCTCTAATACATTCATCATGATTTAATGTCTTATCAGGATCAAGTAAGGTTTCATCCTCCTACAGTATTGTAAGAAGGGCCATGAGGACAAGGACCACGTGTTGTCCAAAATTGTTATCTCCCTAAAGATCCCTGAACACAGCAGGAGTTGGATAAATATTTATTGAATGAATGAATGCCACAGGAGGCTGAGGGTTGAGATATTCCAGGATCCATACAAGGTATTGCTCTACCTGGGCAATTAGGGCAAAAAAATATACATTAGGTTGAATGGAAGAGATTTTGGAGTCAATATAAGACTCTTCTTTGGTGCAGGTGGATAAGAGCTTGTCACTAATTCAGCTGCTCTTCATCATAGTAAGAGTCACCACGACATTGCATAGAATGCTGGCCTCAGAATCAGGGGAATCTGGGGTCAACTTTCATCTCTGACACACAGTGGGGGCGTGAACCTGGGCAAGCCACTTAAAGCCATAAGCAACTTTCCGAAAACTAAGTTGCCTACGGTTGCTGATGTGCTTCAGTAGAAGGACTTTCCTCACCAAGAATTCCTACGCCGATGAAATCACATGCCTGCCCCTCTCCAACCTCCCTTCCCCCCAAAAAAACCCACAACAAAATAACAAGAGTAAAAGTCATGGGAAAAATTTTATCCCTGAATGTTCAGGTTAAATTAGGACTAAAAGTTGTTGAGGACGGCAATAGGATTTTTGTTGTTGTTGCTGAGTTGTTTTCAATCGTATCCAAATCACTGTGACCCCATTGGGAGTTTTCTTGGTAAGGATACTAACGTTGTTCGCCATTTCCTTTTCCAGCTCATTTTACAGAGGAGAAAACTGAGGCAAACAGGATTAAAAGACTTGCCCAGGATCACACAGTAAATGTCCGAGGCCAGATTTGAACTCAGGAAGGGGAGTCTTCCTGACTCCAGGCCCAGTGCTCCATCCACTATGCTATGTCACCTAAGAGCCCTGAATGCAGACTTGAAAGTTAGGTGACACAGTGGATTAGACTTAGCATTAGACTTGGAGTCAGGAAGACATGAGTTTGAATCCTTCCTCAGAGACTTAGCAGCTGAATACACACAGGCATATTAATGAACGTGGCTTTAAAGGTTTTTCCAACTCTAAATCTATGGTTCTGTAGTAATGTATAAAGAGACTTACTAGCACTTGCCATCATCATCTATCCCACTCTCAGGTTTGAAGTGTGTTCTTTTCCCAAATGGATGTGACATGGGGCCGCGCTCAGCAATGTAACTAAAAACTGACTGAGAAGGCCTCCTCCAATATTTGCTTTCCAGCTCAGTAACTTACTGAAGCTGGGTCCTACATGGAAAATTCCATACCCCAGTTCAAAGGGGGCATTGTGACCCAACACATTGAGCTATAGTAGGCAACCACTGTTCTCCATTGTCAATTCAGCCTGGATTTCTCGTGTGCTGTTCCCATAGCCAAAACACATGTTAAAACAGACAAGAGTTCCCAGGGAAGCTTGCGCCTGTTTTGATTATATCTGAGGTGTCATGAGTGAGGATGAGTGATGTCTCCCTAAATGATCTGGTACCTAAGCAGAGGCCCCCAGGAACCACCCCCACTGACTTTCTCTAGAATGCCAGACAATGGTCCTCCCTTGACCTCCAGGTATAGGGGGAGGCTGTAATTGAATCCACAGTCAGAACAGAGTTTGGAGATATTTCCTTTAGCTTGCTGGTTCTAACACCTAATCTAGCCAAAGAGGCCCAGTTAGATAGCGAATAATTCATGTGCTCTTCCTCCCAAAGATTATCAAGGAAGGTGTCCTGCCAAGACAAACAGAAGTGACTTTGACATGTCTTCAGGGATAAATGTAACTGACTTCTAACAGGAGGTAGGTAGCTAGTGCAAGTCAATGAGTTTCAAATATATAGAGAGAGCCAGGCCTTGTTTGGCACTCCCAAACCTCTCTGGGCTTGTGTGCTATCAGTGGAAGAAAGTAAGATAAAACAAAATTACAAAGACAGAGTTTAAAAAATAGCCCAGTAATTAATGTGTGTGTGTGTGTGTGTGTGTGTGTGTGTGTGTGTGTATGTATATAGTCTCACCTGTATTCCCACCTACATTTTAAAAAGTTTAAAAAATTTTGAAATCTCAAATTGTTGTTCAAAAATGAGTCCTTGTCAAATAACTCAACCATGAAAAACAAAACAGCAAATTGAAGTTCTTTTTTTTTTTTCAAGAGCTGACTCAGAAACCTGTCTCTGTGGAAGTTTATTCATAACTACATCTTCAAGATAATCTCCAGGGATGACTGGAAGAAGAGAAGAAAACTGAGGGGAAAAAATACTGCCTAGAAGAGATATGTCCTCCTCTTCCTCTGAAAGGGCATGCTTTCAGAGACTTCTTATGAGTCACACAAAACAATGAATCTCAAATCCACATAGCCACACCTTGTTCTTGACCCAGAATGGTACTCCCTGGCTTGTTCATCCACTCCATTCACCAAACTCGGCTCCAGTCACTATAGGCCATATCTAAAAACCAAATCCACACTCCAAGGTCACATACTGGTCACTCCTGAAAATATTCAAATGAATGAACCCTGAAATTTGAAGAAAATTCTCAAAGAAGAGAGCTAGAAACGTTTGGAGCAATGGAAAACAACAAGAAAAATAACAATACTAAGAATAATAGTCAATATGTATGTAACACTTCAAGGTTTGAAAAGAACTTTATATTTGCCATTTCATTTGATCCTGACAACAATCCTGTAAGGCAAGGTGTTGCTGTTATCCCCGTTTTACAGATGAAGAAAGTAAACCTGAGAGACATTAATTAACTTGTCCCAGGATCACACAACTGTCGTAGGCAGCTGAGGCAGGATTTGACTTTATGGGTTTCTAACTTCAAGTCTGACTCTCTATCCACTATGTATTGTGAGTGGACAGTCTTTTTCTCCTTTAAAATAGGAGAGAGACAGAGAGAGACAGGGGGTGTGGGGTGGAGAGAGAGAGAGAATGCTCCTGACCTTACTGCACTCTGGGGCATTATTGAACATTCTGTCCTCCTGGATGTTCTTTCCTCTGGGTTTTCATGACATGGCTTTCCCTTGATTCTTGTCTTATGTGTCTGAATATCCCTTCCCAGCCTCTTTGGCCAGATTAATTTCAGATCTCCTAAATGAGGATGTATTAGATCTTTATATCCAGCCCTAATCTCTCTCCTGAGTGCTAGTCACAGATCAACAACTGTCTATTGGGATTTCCAAATAGATGTCCTATAAGTCCCTGAAACTCAACATGTCCCAAACACAATTTATTCTCTTTTCCCTTGCATGTCTGCCTCCTGGCTTCCTTCAAGTCATAGCTAAAATCTCTTTTTCTGCAAGAAGCCTTTCCTCATCCTCGTTGTTGTCAGTACCTTCCCTCTGAGAGGATCTCCAATTTATCTTGTATACAATTTGCTGGTACAACTGTCTGCATGTTGAATCCCCCGTTAGATTGTGATCTTGAGGGCAGGAACTGTTTTTCGCCTTTTCTTTTAATCCCTAGTGCTTAGCACTGTGCCTGGCACATAGTAGGCACTTGATAAATGCTTGCTGACTTGACTTACTTAAATAGCCCCCCATATAACGTTCTATCTCCACAACATCTCTCTTGTCTGCATCCTATTTACTTACACTGCCACCATGCTAGTTCCAGCCCTCATTACTTCTCTTCTGAACAACTACAATAGTCCCTCCCCTCTCTAGTCCACCCCACATGGCTGCCAAAGTGATTTTTTCCCCAAAGCACAGGACCAACCATGTCACCCTACTACTAAACAAATTCCTCTGGCTCCCTATTACCTCTAGTTAATACAAACTTAAATGTTAAGTCCTCTGTTGGGCACTCAAATCTCATCCCACCGTGGCTCCTTCCTATTCTTCCAGTTTCTTATACATTATTCTTCTCTATACTGTACTGTCCAGCCATACCAACCTAGGAGCCACTCTTCATATGTGATTCTCCATCTCCAAACTGTGTGCCTTTACAAAGGGTGTATCTCCTGTCCCTCCCCCACTCCCTCAGATGCTCTTCCTCATATTTGCTTCTGAGAATTTCTGCTTTCTTTCAAGACTCGGTTCAAGTAAGGCAGGAAGCCTTTCCTGGACTTTCCCTTCCCCCTGCCCCTCCAAGGTTACCTTGGCCCTACTTTGTATGCATATAACTTTATGTCATGGCTTCTTTCTTATTAAGAAAGTAAGATCCTTGAAGACAAGGACTGGTTTTGCTTATGAGCCCAGCACCTGGCACATAGTAGGAGCTTTTAAAAAAATGGTTAATTGATTGCTTGACTTGATTGGGCTACTGCAGTACCTTTGTAATTAGTTTCCCTTCCTCAAGTGACTCTTTTGCAACCTATACTCCCGGGACATCCCTGTCAAACTGATACCAGTAAAGCACAGGTGTCACAATCCTCCTCAAGAAACTCCAGCAAACCCCTACTACCCCAGTGATCAAATACAAACACCTCTGTTTGGTATTTAACTCCCTTTGCAACCTCGGTATAACCTACATTTCCAGATTTATTATATATTACTCCCATTCACATACTAGCCTATTGCTGTTGTTCATTTCAGTCGTGTCTGACTCTTTGTGACCTCATCTGGGGTTTTCTTGGCAAAGATACTGGAGTGGTTTGTCATTTCCTTCTCCAGCTCATTTTACAGATGAGGAAACTGAGGCAAACAGGGTTAAGTGACTTGTCCAGGGTCACACAGCTACTAAGTATCTGAGGCCAGATTTGAATTCAGGAAGATGAGTCTTCTGACTCCAGGCACAGCACTCTATCCACTGTGCCATCTAGCTGCCCTCAAAACAACATTAGAACATCCATATTTCCAACCAACGGACTGATGGGCAATTCTTTTTCTTTTCAGAGAAATTACCACAAATGTCTTTTTAGTCAACAATCTAAAAAGGATGAGCACTGGTATACTGTAGCGCATAATGAACTGTGCCATGGACATAAATCAACTCAATAAGGCAACGTAATGACCAATTAGAGATATCTAATATAATTTCAGAAGAGGGTAAACTCCTTGCAAGCAGCAACTGCTTTCAATTTTGTCTTTGCATCCCCAGCACCTGGCTCATAATAGATGCTTAATAAATGCATGTTGAATTGAATTAGTAAGACATTCTCAGGAGAAGGACATTAAAAACGGGAGAGAGAAGTCACGGGCTCATAGCAAACCAGAGGACCCAAGGAAAGAAGCTGTGTCTGAGGTCAAAAGCCAGAGACCAGAGATTCTTCTTTCCCTCCTTCCCACCCCCAACCCCCAAAAAAATCTCCAAGGAGATGGGGTCTTTAGAACAAGCATAGAAGCTGAGACCTAGAGCCAGGGAAACAGGATCTTAGGCTTTGCATTATGTGAAAAGTAGACTGACTTAGATGACAAGCAGCTAAGTTATATCAGCAAAAGCAATGATTCTGAAGTTACAAGTCTTTGGTTCAAATCTTAGCTTTGCTATTTATTACATGGGCAACCTTGGGAAACATCCTTCATATCTCTAGGGCACAGATGAGTCTTTGCAAAATGAAAGCATTTGTCCAAATGATCCTGAATCCTATAATTCTCTGGCTTAGCTTTGTACTTGTTCCACAATAACCCCCCTTCCTTTTTTTAACCACTGGTGGGAATTGTCTCTTATTTTCCCTGCACGTATAAGGTATCTGCCAACACTATGTAATCAATCAGGTCTTTCCCTGCTGGAGACTATGTCCTTGAAAATGGGCCAGAGATCTTCAGGTAGCGTTCCCAGTGCAGACATGACATAAGGTTAGGAGCACCCCCTTTTACGGGCTGTTTTCCTACATTAGAATCTGGGCCTTGAGGTTAAGAACTATCTTTTGCTTGAAATTGTATTTCCAGTGCTTAGCATAGTACTTCGCACACAGTAAGTGCTTAATAAATGCTTAATCCATCTATGTGTCTTCTATTATAGACCTGGAATGATCAGATTAAAGGAAAGATCCATTATCTTGGTAGGCATTTAACAAATGAGTGCTCAAATACCCATTTCTGGTCCCTAAATGAATTGAAAACTAGAGATAGAGAAAGGAATTCTTCTCTCTGAGGTCTACCATGGGAGGATGACTTTAAAACAGGAAAAATCAGTCTATAAACCCCATTTTTCACCAGGCTATAACCTAGACAACTCTTCCTTTTAGAAGATCATGTCAGCCCGGCAATTCACAGCTCAGAAGTATCATTAGCCCACGGATGGCCCTCTCTTCTGGATAGCTCCTCCCAGAAAGAGAGGGCACCCAGGACAGCTCCATTTCTCACCAAGCTTCAATCCATACTCCATCATCCCCCTGTGCTGGGCACCTTTCTTCCTCCACACTGTTCCTGATTTACCTTCTACCATCTTGCCCCATTTAGAATGTAAGCTTCTTGAAGGCAGGGACTTTTTTCTGCTTACATTTGTATTCCTAACACTTAGCACAGTGCCTGGCACATAGTAAGACCCGATTTAATTATGCTTCCTGACTGACTGATTTACCAGAACCTTGCAGGTACATCAGAGGGGAAGACAAGCTCAAAGAATTGGGGATGGCCTATTCCACCCAAGTGAGTAATTCTGAAGAGCTGCTGGCCTCACATCATCCATATATAAAATTAGGAATTGAGTTTCTAAGACTGCCTAAATATCCTAGCAGCCTTGCCAACCCAATTCTACCTCATCTGGAAGCCTGAGAATTTAAGTCCATGACCCACCCCCAGAATACAAAGGACTCAGAGCTGGAATGGACTTCTCATCCATCTAACCAAATGCCCTCATTTTTTGATGGATGAGGCCCACAGATGTTATGTGATGTGCAGATCACCCAGGTATCAGAGTCCTGTTTCAAGCCCATATACTCCAACTCCAAATCCATGTCTTCTCCTACTATACCAAAGCAGCTTTGGGCAGACTGATTGAGTAGAATTAAAAGACTGGGGTAGTGGAAGAGTCAGTGGGTAGGTAAGAAAACGTGAAGAAAGAGGGACAGCCTAGTTCCAAGTCCATACACATAGAAAACCAGAGTTTAATTGTGAAGATCTTTTGCAAAGCTGAAACATTTCCCTTTTGTTTTCAATTTTAACTCCCAGTATGTTTCCCTCTCAGAGGAAAAAAATGAACTGAGACATAAAGGAGTCTGTATGCTTATTTCAGAGACAGCTGTGAACAGAAGTTGGGAACTCATCTGCTTCTACCAGCAGAGCTGAGTGAGAGAAACATGAAAGGGAAGCGTGGGCAGTGGGAGAAAAAGAAATGCAGAACCAAAAGTGGGTCTTATTAAGCACCTACTATGTGCCAGGCTCTGTGATAAACACTGGGGAAACAACAACAAAAAAGGCAGACACACACATATTGTTCTCAAGGGGACTCACAGTCTAATGGGGGAGAAAATGTGCAAATAGCTATAGCTGAACAACACAGGAAAAATTGGAGATAATCAACAGAGGGAAAGCACTAGCGCTAAGGAGGCTAGGGAAAGGCTTCTCGTAGAAGTGAGATTTGAGGAAGCTAACAGCCAAAGACGGGAAGGGAGACAGTTCCAGGGATGGGAGTTGGCCAGTGAAAGTGCAGTCAGAAGACGGAGTTTCTT